AAACGTCGGCATATGTAAAAAATAAATATTATAATTTATTTTTGCCTTCCTTTTTGACTGAGCACCCCAACTATTCTTCTCTTCATTATCCACGACAGTCAACCAATTACCAATTATGAAAAAATATTTTATTATTCTGGGACTGTTGTCCCCTTAGAACAAATTACAAATACAGATTGTATGTCTGTGTGGTTACAATTAGATTATATATTTACAATAAGATTTGACTAAAACTAAAAATACTGAAGAAGAGAAAGAAAAAAACAAGAAAATTGTACATATATAAGAGAAACTAAAATAACCTAAATAAATTGAGGTAGTCTCTGGGGGTGCTTAGATATTTCTCTTAAGTATGTTTCGCAATCAGTCGGATTGAGAAAGGAGTAAGTGTTTAAAGAGGAAAGATTTCAAAGAGGAAACTGATTGAGCGTGTCGAATATCAGCAGGGATGGAATTCCAGAGGGAGGCGGCCTGTATTGCAAAGGATTTTTCAAACGCAGCAGTTCGGTGAGGAGGAGGATAGAGGTTAGAAGTACGAGATCTAGTGGGATGGGATTGGATGGAGTATTTGAATTTTAAGCTGTGAAAAATATAGGAGGGTCGATGAGTTCTAATGATTTGGTACAGGAAAGTGGCTAGGAAGTACTGACGGCGATAGGATGGGTAAAGCCACCTCAACTCAGTATAATACTGGGTTATATGCGTATCACTTGAGATTCCGAAAACAAATCGTAGTGCACAATTCATTAGGCGTTTAAGTTTGGCCTCGGAATCTCCCGAGAGTCCACCGTACACCATACAACCATAGTCGAAGTGGGGGAAAACAAGGGAGGAAACTAGGAGTTGACGGGACTTATATGGAAGGAGATATCGTGACGATTGAACTGTTTTAAAGTAAAGATAGTGCGACAGGAAATTTGGGAGATGTGTGGTTTCCAGGATAGGGTTTGATCATAAGTAACACCTAGGTTTTTAACGGTGGTGTGGAATAAGATAGGTGAGTTGTTCAGGAGGAAATTGGGAGATATCGGGGAGAATTTGAGGAGTGAGGGAGATCCGATCAAGATGGTTTTTGTCTCCTCGGCGTTCAGAGTGAGCCTATTGAGGTTTGCCCAAGCACTTGTTCTGTCAATGTCTTCCTGAAGTTTTAGAGTGGCATCTGAGATATCTGTCGGATTAAAGGAGAGGTAAATTTGAATGTGGTCGGCATACAGGTGGTATTGACAGTGCAGGATAGAGGATGGAAGGTCATTTATATAGATGGAGAAAAAGGTGGGGGATAAGGAAGAGCCTTGTGGGACGCCTCTGGACAGAGGTAGAGATTCTGATGGGGGGTTATTAGGCATTAAAACATACTGGTAAGGAAGGATTGGAACCAATTAAGGGAACTAGAAGAAAAAGAGATATTTTTAAGTTTGGTTAGGAGGATGTTGTGGTCTACTGAATCAAAAGCTTTGGAGAAGTATAGGAGAATAAGGATGGTTAGTTTCTGCTGATCTATGGCTGTGTGAAGGTCTTGGGAAATTTTGATTAGGGCAGACTGAGTAGAATAACCAGGCCTGAAACCGGACTGGTAGGGATTTAGGAGATTATTGTCCTCTAAAAAATGAGATAGCTGGGGTTGGACTAACCGCTCTAAAGGTTTTGAGAGGTATGAAAGGAAGGAAATTGGTTGGAAATCATTAAGAGCTGATGGGTTTGAGGTCTTCTTCAAGGGACGTACTAGGGCGGATTTCCAGGATGTAGGGAAGGTAGCATTTTGAAGAGAATAATTGCATATATGATAAAGGATCAGAAGAATGGATGGCAATGCGGCTTTAATCAGTCTGAGTGGGCTGTTATCGGATATGATGTCCCATTGGAAAGAATCAAGGTCAGGTTGTAGAGATTCATAGGACAGAAGGTTTAAATTATGGCATGAAACTATTTTGGGTGTAAAGGATTTCACAGGTAGGTCATATGTAATTTGGATCAGGTCGTGTGATGAAAAAAATGGAACGGGGTGTTGGGAAGAGGAGAGGATTTTGATGTGCGAGTCAGAGATGTAGAGGTCTAACCAGGTGTCGGAAAATTTCATGTGATGGGTAGGAGAATAAGGAACAAGATAAAGATTAAGGGGAAACAGTAGGTCGATTAGGAAGTATTTTTCAGGAGATTGTGACAGCATATTCACGTTGAAATCGCCGGTGATAATAATATTGGTATAATTGGAAACCAGGTCAGTAAGGGAATATTCAAAAAGGTTGTCAAATGGAACATGAGGAGATCGGTAAACTACGACATACAACAGCGGAGAGGTAATAGAGGAAATTTCAACGAACATGTATTTCACGTGAGGAAAATGATGATGAGGAGAATGTAGAAGGATTTTGGCCTTAAGACTGTCATGGATATTTAATCCAACACCACCTCCCATGCGATGAGATCTATCGTGATTCGAAATTATCTGAAATTTGTAATAAAAAATCTATCAGTTTTTGAGAAATTAGTTTAACAGTAGAATGAACCAAATTTCAAACTTATATCTTATTTGATATATATATATATATATATATATATATATATATATATATATATATATATATATATATATATATATAACGTATTTAGTAGTTGAATAAAATAAGAATTTCTAATGCTAGAAAAAAATTGAATATTATAATATGATATGTCACGTTATCTACAACAGTGTCATTTATTTTCATATATTATTTCTGATAATATATTCGTTGCTCACATAATAGGGTATATATAGTAGTGTTGCAATAAAACGAAGAAACAACGAAATAGGAAGGCTCATATTCTGAGAACATTAATCCACTATATTGTCGCTTAGTTCCATTATGAATACAGGGAATCCGGATTTAAAATAGAATTTAGAGTCTTAGCCCTTTCTATTTCTCAATGAATATTTAAGAAGTTCTCTCACAAATTAGTTGGCTGAAAAATAATGTTCATTTTGAACGAGGATAGTGGAATAATTGTAACAATTTCATCTATCCATAACAAATTGGAAAATAAAATATATATGCTAGACGAAACAAAATTTACAAATTACTATTATTTTTTTTTCTATATACAAACACGTTTACCTTTGTTATGTGCAATATTGTTATGCTAAATATATTATTAAATTTCTCATAAAAATAGTTTTAATTTGTAAATGTATAAAGAAAAATGCTTTAATAGTTATCTAAATGTTATTTTTTAACATGTTTTTCTTCAAATTTTTCTTGAACATACATCTCTCTATAGCGGGCAATTTTTGATTCCCCGTGAGTGTCCGCTTCTTGTGAAGAGAAGTTTCATTATAAGAACTAAAACGGTAGTATTTTTAGTAATTTTTCTTCATGAAAGCCGTTCTTTGCTTTGTTTTCTTATCTTGTTCTGGTTCTGACAAATGATTAATTTTTAGGGGCGGTATGGAGAGGACTAACTAACGAGTGTGCACAGAACTGCGCATTTCCCGGCAACCTGATAACCGAAGTTGGAAACAATAAAATAATTATGAGTTCTTTTATCTCTGGCATTAATCCCCCGACCTCACCCCTTGGCCCGTGAAAACCCCCATGTAACCTAAATGGCGAGGTAGGGGAGAACAAAAAAAAAAGATTAATTTTTTATTATAATTTCGAAAGCTATATTTAAATACACAATTCCACAAGAAAAAACAATGCTGTTCAGAATAGATGATTAAAATGTTTAAGCAATATACTATATCTGAAAATAGTCTCAGTTTGACTGAACTACAAGACCTGCAAGACTTGGAGTCTTGGTCTTGCAAACATGCAAGACCAAGACTGCAAGACCGAGACCAATTTTGGGCAACACTATTGACCGCACCCCCAACTAACATCTTCTGAAATTAGAATATATATGTAGAAAATAGAAAATATATATATAGAAAATATGCAATATATAATTACATATGTACAACCAAATATAATTATAATTATTCATTTTTTTCCCCTCTCTATACTTCTAAGTTAGTTCTGAAATGTATGGTCTCTTATTTTTATATTTATATTTTACTTCAATGTATGTTTTACTTCTTCCATTTTTGTTTTTATTCACATTGTACTCTTATCTATAATCTCTTAATTCTATTTTATATGTATATGTATATATTTATAATTTAATATTTCATAGATATAGTATTTATCCATCCATATCTTCAAATTTCAGATACTGTAATTTTCTAGGTTTTTTCCCCATAACCCAAACAAGTCACCAAACTCCCCAATACCTGCCCTTACCCTGGTTTTCCAGTTCTAAATGAAACTCCTAGCTGAACACACCTGTACGTCTCTAATTTTATTTACTTATTTATTAAGTTTTTTGTTTTTCTTTTTTCTTTTCTTTCTCCACATTCCTTTATATCTATTATTTCATATTATATCCTTCTTTTTCCTTTTCTTTCAATCTCTCCTGTAGATCTGTAGAAGTATATTCGCATTTGCATTTATTATATATTACACTACAACAATTGTTACCATCTATTTACTTCAGTTTAGGATCTTGTTACTTAGCTTACTCTGTTTATATTTTAATGTACTTCCTGTTTATAATTTTAATAAGCTTATTCACATTGTTTATAATTTATTGTCTAAATATTATGTAACTTCCACAATTCTCTATCTTTTTGTATTTTGTCCGTTCTAGTCCTGAAGAAGACCTGCAAAATCGGGTCGAAATGTTGGCTTTTAATAAAATAGTTTCACCAATATTTAGCCTATTTATGACTGGCACCCCTGACCATCTCCTTCCTTTATAATGCAACGGTCAACTATTAAATATTAAATTTATCTTTTTTGTTTTATATTGTATGTTTTTTTCTTCTTTAATAAATAATGCATGACATATAATTAATTAATATTCATTGTTAATGTGGCTATAGTAGACAATCGGTACATATTATATTATGTAATGAATAGTACATCTACTAGATTTAATGAATATTATTAAAATAATAGTTTGCATAGCTACTTAAGGAACTATACCTTCATGCAACAGGAATGAAGAGTTCTAACAAGAAGTTGACGATATTTTCCAGCATCTTCATGTTCTGTCAAGTTATGTGTCTTAGCAACTTCTTTTTTTAACATTAAAACCATTTCTTCAACACACCGTGAAGTAGTGAGATCCAGTGCTAAAAATTAAAATCATATTTTAATTTAGGACAATTTAACAAGTCATGAAATTCAATTAATACAAAAAAAATTATATTTAACATAAAGAGAAGTAGTGTAATATCGTGGGAAAAATTTATACAACTGACATTGAAACAAAAAAAAAAAAAATATAACAGAACAAAGAAAGTCAAAAATTACTTTCTATGCCAATAATATGAAAAGAAGGTACTTTTGTTTCTGGTATCTTGTAATCTATTAGACCTACAGAAAAAAAATTATTTCCACTAAAAGTAAAAATAATTATGTAAGAAAATTCTCCACAAAAATGTTTATTTTATCTCAAGAGCCCATAGTTTAGAGAGATGATCACATTAAAAAATGAAGAAATTGGCTAATGCCTCATCAGCACTTGCATTGAACTTTCTTGATTTAATCTTAAATAAGGGTCAATTACTTTTGTCGTTAAAAGAACATAACAATGAAAAATAACTTTAAGAAATGACATATTTTACTAACTAAAACCATACAATATGTAAGTGTCAACTATAGATGCCAGCTTGAAATTTCAACAAGAGATTATTCTTTCTAATCACAATTCTATGATCTCTACTCACAATACAATTAAACATAAAAAATCTTGTACGGTGCGCGCATCACACAACTTTCACTTACCATCCTCTTCTAATCAAAAATAAGCATTTTTGGACAAAGGAGAAGTGAAAGTAAAAATTATAGACGCTATCTATATTTATTTATATTTTATTGTGGGTATTTTTATTTGTTTAAGTACCCTTATATATATACAAATTTTAATATTTATATTGCTGTAATCTATACAATTAAATATTAAACATTTATGAACCGATAACACTTATGAAAACCGCATATGTATATGTACATAATATTGCCAGAATCCGTATTATATTAAGATCATATTACGTATGGAAGGATACGCTCGTATTCCTTTGGTTTTTCCATTACAACTATTCTCTGTTATGAAATCTTATTTCTTCTTTAATTAATTCACAAATTCTTTCATATTTTATATTTAACTATTTTTTATATCACAGACCAATGTGAAATGGTTAATCGTTTCAAATAAAAAAAATTAAAAGTACTTTAGGGAAAGCTAATATTGAGAATTAGCCATTTAAGCCCTGTTTGAGAGCATCAATGAAAGTAAAACCTACATTATATTAAAAACTGATTATAATGAATTTAATCAAAATCATTTCCAGGGCTTACTCCGTCGACTGGGCTAGTCCGCAGGTGGTGGATAGCAGAACAGCCTGTATACATACAGGTTAGCTGCGAATAAGGGCTTGCCCAAATAAGCAGTCCCGGACCAGGGGTGGATATATGACCTGTGGCAGGGTCATGTGTAATAAATTCCACAAAACCCATTGACGATGTTGTAACATGACGAGTAAGTGCCGCCAATAAATTGCACTGCCCCATACTGCCTTGTACGGTTTGAGAGGGGATCCTAAAGGCTGGGAGAAAAAACTATAAGAAATCAAGGGTAGCATGGACCCTGTAAGTTGTAGTGAAAACCACCATGCTAGGGGAGGGAGCCCTGAATTCAAAGCCCTGGTCCTCCAGGTAGGGGGTTGAGCCCCCACCTTTTAAAAAATAAATGTTTAGAAACTCACAGAGAATAATAAGATGGATCTGATTAAAAGGAAACGGAATTTGGATTTTACTATTGCAATCTGGCACGTAAGGACAAGCTACAGCCTGGTAAAATTGCAGAAGTGGCTGAGCAGATAATTAAGTTTAACATAGATGCAGTAGCCTTGCAGGAGACAAGATGGAATGGATCAGGCAGAGGAGACTAGAAAGATTTCTCAATGTTTTAGTGGACCTAACACAAGAAGTGGGAAAAATGGTACTGGATTCTTAATAACAAAGAAAATAAGGAAGAGTTTACAACTATTTGAACCGATTAGAGAGAGAATTTGTAAACTTAGATTGAAAGGTAGATTTAGGAACAAAACATTAATTTCAGCATATGCACCAACAAACAGAGGAACCAGATGAGGATGTAAAATTTGAATTTTATTAAGAATTGGAAGGACTATATCACACATCCCCAAAATATGATGTTAAGATTATTTTAGGAGACCTAAATGCACAAATAGGAATGAGACCTTTACACAGACCATTGCAGGAAAATTCTCAATTAACAATGAGATAAATGAGAACGTAAATCATCTCTGCCAATTCACTGAAGCGAGTGATATGTTAATTAAAAGCTATATGTGCTTGTTTTAGGTGAACAATTTTAAATATTATAAAATAAGGCTGTGTTTTATTTCTTCACTATATTTATTTCAATTTGCATAGCTATGTTTCGGCCGATAAGCCATCTATAAGATAAACACTATTAATTTTTTATTCTGATGCAATTTTACTGGCCAATATGGTGGTATTGGTCCAATTTAATTTAATATTCTATGAATTATAACCCTAATTAGGTTAAGTCAATTTTTTTTAGTTAAGTCAGTTTCATTATTTTCTCCAATTTTGCTGGATGATGCTTCATTGGCAATCAAGACATTTCTGTTATTTTTGGATTTTTGTTCTTCTTTATTATGTTTTTTTTTTTTTTTTAAGTTGCCTGGTCAGCTTTGATGTAGAAAGTTTATTTACAAATATCGCCATGAAGGAGGTAATAAAAATCATAGAAGAAAATTGAGAAAAAATAGCATACAGAAATAAAAAATATGAAACTATATATAGAAGGAGTAAAACTATGGAGTGAAAATAATTTCTTCACTGCATAGTTAATGGTATTCCTATGGGATCATCTATGAGCACGATTTTGATCATAAACAAGATTTTGGACAGAGCAATGAATATATACAAAAAGGAAGTGCCAATGATTACCAAATATATTGATGATATACTAATGATAATAGAAAGAGATGATGTTGAAAAGTTTCTGAATATCTTGAATAAGGTTTCAAATTCAAAATTCAGCAACCATCCCTTTCATCAAATGAAGAAAGTAGCCATGAATCTAATAGACAGAGCAAAAAAACTAACTAGCAGAAAACACATTAAAAAAAGTAAAAGGGATTGTGTATACATTATTAAATGAAAATTGGTATCCAGAAAAAATGATAAAGAACTTATGGAGAAAAGGAACATATAAAAAACAAGAAGCCCATGCATATGCCCAGTGTCAATAGCATGAAAACAAACACCTCGGCAACTTAGAAAAAAAAAATAATAAAGAAGCACCAAAATCCAAAAACAACAGAAATGTATTTATTACCCATTTTTTCAAGCCAATGAAGCATCATCCAGCAAAATTGAAAAAAAATCATGAAACAAAAAATTGTGAATCCCACAGCACATAAAACTAAAAAAAATTTATTGTCTAACACAAATCAATAGTCTTACTGACAAAATAACCAATACTTTCAAGAAATATGACTTAGCAGATTTTAAGTTTAGTAGAAAATCAAAAAACAAAATTTTAAACATATACCCCAATAATAAATGTTAGCTCCCTCTTAGTTTATTTCAAACCTCGAATGAAGCCTAACTATTTAATTGTGATTTAATAAATTATAATAAAAAAAAAGAGAGAAAGAATGAAAGTGGACTGTATCTTCAAACATTTATTTTGGAACATTTACGAAATTTATTGAAAATATTAAACAAAATGAATCAATTTTACACTCGTTAGATAGGTAAAAAAAAAAAATAATAACAAACTTCTAGCATAAATAAAGACCAGCTGAACAAACAATTGTGACAATATTAATGAAATATTTCCATGCTTAATCATGAAAAAAAAAACTATTTCTATGGCCCAAATTACAATAAATAAAATATAAAAAAAACAACTTCTCTACAGTCCCAATATGAAATTTTTATATATATATATATATATATATATATATATATATATATAAAACAAATAATTAGTTGTACAACGTTACGTGGACGAAGCAGGACGTTTGTAAACCTCTGTCTCTATGCAGAAACCAATTGTAACTCTTCAAAACGAACTGCAAGTGGGCAGCGGCGATGGTGGCTCGAGAGAAAGAATTCATCTAATGAAGACCGCAGTGGGCAGTACATCAGTTGGCAGACTTGAGCTCTATAGCGGACGGAGTCAGACTGTGCCTTGCGAAGTCCACGGGCTTAGGACTTGGACCTAGGACTTGTTTATAGCTAGGGCTAAAATCCATAACAAGTAGTCCAAGTATAACCTATTGATCTATATAATATAAACAATATAAGCTATGGGCCTATAATACTTAATATACATATCTCTTATACATAACTTAACATTTTATTAATTGACTTCACTTTGCTAAAATAAAACAAATCAACAATTAATCAAACTAGTTAAGTGTAAAATAAAATGAATTAACGCTGTGGCGTTTTTAACTGCAAAAATAAAATAAATTAACGCTGTGGCGTTAACAATAAAGACAAAATAGATAAAAATGAAAAAACTGACATCATATACAAAATAGATTGTAAGGACTGTAAAAATAGCAATAGTGGAAATAAAAAAAGCACATGTTACATAAGACAAACAAAACAGAACTTAAAAAATAGATTATGCCACTGTGTTTCGCCCCTTTTAATTTTTTCAAATTTATTCGCTCTAAGGATCTACTTATATGTTATCGGAGATTAATATAGATTGGAGAAAATAACCTTCATTTTAAGATTAGGCCACTGTATTTGGGGTTTTGTTATTTTTCCTTCGAATTTAATAAAATAAGAAGAATCAATTTATTTTTCAGCCGAAATAAATAAAATATCAATTTTCTCATTTTTAAATTTAATTTTAGTTTTCCTTTTTAATGTTGCGGTATCCTCTTACAAAATTATAAGATACGAATTTCGAACAATTAGATGAAAAATCTGAAAATAGTAGGTTAAATTTATTACCGGTTGCTTTTTCAGCTTTTTACTTTGTGTTTTGTGATTAATTTATCCTTAGCTGATTGATGAAACTTTGCATTGAAAAAATCTAAAATCAAGCTAA